ATATAATTTAGTTGTAGTATTTTGATCTTTATGACATATTTCTCTATTCGAATGTTATTTCTTTAATATAATGGTTAAAAGGTTACACAGCAATGTGAGTATAAAATACAATTACTTTTGTTTGCCCAGAATTCTCAAGGTCATTAAACGCCTGACGTCATTTAAATTACGTGCGTCTTTTCCCCCGTGCTTCAAGGAAAATAGCTTTTGCTTTTCTGTCCCAGGCTTTACTCTGTGTGTGTGTGTGTGTGTGTATGTGCGTGTGTGTGTGTGTGTGTGTGCGTACTTTGGTGCGTGTGTGTGTGCGTGTGTTCGTTCAGCTGTCAATGACAGGACCTGTGTGAGAATAACGACCTACCGTCTGAGGACGGTTGCGATTAAGGGGACTTACACACGGGTCCTCAGATTGTTTTCTTCGATTTAGCTTCGAAAAAACGATTTCTGTTGTTCCTTTAAAAATTTGGGAGTCCTCATTTTGATAGGTCTTAAAGGACTTCATACACACAATATAATCAATTTAGTACTACCACGTGATGAGGTATGTAAAATTTTACCCAATCAGTGATAGAGTAACGTTACCGCTTTATTTTTTAGATGATCTATGTTAGGAGTTACCTAATTGGTTAATATTTTCACCAACAAGCCGCCATTTTGGATTACGCTTGTCAGGTAAGTGTGTCCTTTTATTTTCCTACAGAGGACATTTTATTTAATAAAAATCATTAAATTGTCGTCGGGAGAAGGTGCAGTAGGTTTTGTTTAGGCAAAAACGTACACATGTTACGATTCAATTGTAGACTATTGTACATATCACCACTTTGTTTATTTCCCGGACGTTCACAGCAAAAAATATTTTTTTTATTATCATACATGTACGATAGTGCTCTGAAAGTAGCTGTATTTTTTAAATTAAAAACTGTAGATTTAAAGGCCGTATTTGTCAACGTTATAAAAGATAAGCAGAAAGGTGTGTGCGATTTTTGTTGTTGTTTTATTTTAGTACTTTTTGTTCATATTCTTGCTGCAATAACAAAACGATACGATTCGCCCCCATTACGGCTCGTCCTACTATTCAATTCGTGTAAATTTATAAAGTATAACATATTCTATTTGCTTAGAAATGTCTATGTTTTGGGAACATCTTATGTTTATGGAGACGAAAATCAGAAAATTAGCTCAACAATATGAACTAAATATTCTGCTAAACCATTTTGTATGTTACCTTTAACTTAACGCACAGACCACAGGCTCCGCGTTTATTTTTCTTTCCTGGTTAAAGTTACCGATCAGCAATGTTTAGAAAGATAAATCTACAAGTTTTAGTAAAGACATAGATCTATAACATAGATGTTATCTACATCTGTGGACTATAAGATACTAAAAGAAAAGAAAATTTCTTATCAATAACTTGCCAATATATTCACAGCTATAACTTTGCATACATTGTGTAGATCTAGTCATGTTAGCAATAATGATTGAAATAATATTAGTATTAGTGAGTAAATAAAACAAATTGGAAACCCTTTCTAATGCAGTCATGCAAGAAACGGATATGTCTAGATAATATGATGAGTACAATATAGGTACTGTCAGGGTGTCCGTTTGACCCTTGAATGACTGTTTGACCCTTCAAATTTCCAAAAAGCCTGATTTGACCATCAGGATTTTAACTTGAGGGTCAAATTTTGTTAAAATCATTGGGAATGGCCTTAAAGTCAGTAAAACTTAGTCAAAATGACCCTCAGGATTTCATGGCTAGTGAACACCCTGCGGTACTTCAAATATTTCTCAGAAATATTGAGTTAATAAAACTTCAGTCAAAATGTCCATGCCAACACTTATACTATAGAAAGGGTTAGTTAACACTTAAGTTCCTCTCATATTCAAATTCTTTTAGTACCATTACTTACGTGTGTCACTGTCGGAATATGTACAAACAAATGCTACATCTTAATATCAGTAAGATTTCCACAAAGGGTGTGATGGTTCAGGGAGTAATTCAGTTAAGGAATTCTTCGGAATTCAAATGTAAATGTGTATATTATGATACTACTTTCACTGTTTCAATTCGAGGTATTTTCACTTATTAGTTTTTTTTTTGTTGTTTGTCTTTTTTTAAGAAGTTTGTTTATGACTGCTGGAATATTCGTAAATACTGAATACAATTATCTACTCATTAACATTCTATTCATGGTTTCTAGCATCCATGAAAGTTTGATCACCTAAAATTCAAAAGTTGCTAGGATAAAATACGAAAATGCATTTCAGTTTTTAACATCTTTTTGTAATTAACACATATTTGGTTGTGTGTGTTCTTAAATTGGGCAGCTAAGCCCTTGACATGTTATTAGTAATTTAGTTGTCTTTAACCTAAATGAGAGTGCCAGGATGTTGATGATGTCACTACCAATATTTGTTTTAGAAAATGAGGCTAAGACGAACAAAAAAGGAAATTGTAAAAGAGGAATCAAATTGTTTTGACAAACTTTTAGTTAAATTCATAGACTGCTACAAAGGTATGCTTCAAATCTTTCTTAAGTTGTTTGATACTCTGCTTTCTGGTTTTTCTTTTTTAAAGTTGAGTTCATAACAAACTCTAGCTGATCTATTGATATGTAAACAAACTATTTTATTTCATATTTGTAATGACTTTAGAATGAATCTGTGTGAGAGTGACAAAAACTATGAAAGTTCGCAAATGTGAGATTTTAAGGTTTATTTTCTCAGAAAGTTTATTTTGACAGACTGGCCCCACCCACTTTTGTAAAATTATTGGTACACAAATCGTAATGTACCCAAGGCAAAACGTACTCATTTCAAATAAAAAACATATTAAACATTGTATTTTACTTCTCTGCCTATGGTTAAATTGTTCATTGGAAGATGTTCCCTGCACATAAGAGAAAGTCAAGTTTTAGTATTAGAGTGATGTGTTATCAAATTTGATGAGCTGTTCCCTTCTCAGTTTTTATTAGAATTTAGAATTCATAAAGATTCATCATTGTCATTAAGGACCCCATGGTAACACGTTTAAACAGATTCGTTTCGATTTTCATTCCTAAATGTTTACGATATTTTTTACCTTTTAATCGAAATGACCAAATACAAAATATCTTAATGATAATCATTGCCTGTAATCATGGCTTTTATCAATATTATACACCAATGAAGATCCATTTTTGTATGTCTTACTCACATAATTTAATTATAGAGAAAATGGTTAATTATTAATCTCTGAAGCGGGGATTTCAAATTACATTGCGCCAGCAGTGCACACTATGTACCACGGACAGGATGTATAGCGGAAACATTTCCTTTTTACATTAGTTATTACTAGTTTAAATCATAGGCCTACTCTGAATACATAATCAGTAGAGTTCATACTCGTCATTGATTATAATTAATTATGTATCTCTAATTGCCCAAAGTCAAAGCAAGTCTGCCACTTAACTAGGGAGCCGGTGTAGCCTGTAGCCGTTCAGTTTTAAAATAACCGATACCGGCAAATGTTTTTTCCAGGTAAATTGTCTTCTACAAGTGTTTTTCTTCCATACATAATGATCTTTGACTTGTTAATTTTTACTTCATAACATATATAAGCGTGCAACTTGTATTGTTGCAGTCGGCACGCATTGTTTGGATTCAAACCAGTTTGTGCAATTCCACTAAGCTTATCTTAGTCAGGGCTCTCCTCGATATGCCTAATATCATTGCCGTTTTTATCTTCTTTGATATTACACCACTTTGAACCATAGAAATAGCGTTGATCAACTTGGATGGCGAACATCTGCAATATTGCTTTTCATCAGCTTCACTTGACATGTATACACAATAAGGCATCAGTATGTAATTTTAAACGCTCGTATACCTATTGCTGAATTTCATTTTTACCAATTAAATACATTGTATACCTGCTTTTCAAAATAAACAACATCACGCTACATTACGGTTATCATTACATGTTATTAATGAATTTTAATATGAGAATTTATTAGCAACATTTGATACCTCAATAAGAAACATCGTTAATGGAGTAACATTTACACACATGTACTCTAGTTAAAACTTATTTGTCCACAGCCAAATACAATATGTCATATTTGGTCAGTTTGATTTTCAAGTTCGTTCCAAATTAGTTTGAGATTCTGTCACATGTGTCAAAATAACGAACCTCCTTTAAATTTGGTTTCTAAGTTTGACGCTCACTCCTTGGCAGGGAATTTAACTCTAGACAAGCTGTTGAAGGTCCAGTTAATGAAGAACAACTTCAATAAGTATGTTTAAAAAGTTGACAATAGCATAATTTGACCAAAATTAAGAAGTATTTTTACTGTTTAACATAGGTCAACCTCTTACACGTTTCCCTATGAAGTTACTTTTTTATGTTCAAATTTTCGAGCCACATTTTGTACTAACTAATGTCAGTGAAATCGGTGCCTATGTGGTCTGATTTTTTTCATGACGTTATCAAGTGAATGATGGATGTAAACATTGATCAAAATATCAGTTTAAACGCTTAATTTTGAGATTTCATGATGTTTGTAAAACATGGGACTGTCAAATAAAGGTGCTATTGCTCTAACGGCTTTATATTCTCTATATCAATGACCATTTGCAACATAATTAGGAGGGTTCGTTATAATAGATAAAGTGTGATACTATGTACATTGTTAATTTTTCATCAAAATAAACAGTCAAGAGGAAAACACATTTAGAAATACAATGAATATATGAAATTTAAGTGGTTTAACTAGATTTTCATTTCTTTATAATCATTACATCAGTCAAAGGTGTTTTATAATTGTTTCAAATGTATTTGCTTTAATGTAAAATTAAATATAACAACTTTACAAGAAGAAATATTTGATTAATTGAGAACAAACTGAAAATGTATCGGCAGAGCATAATATACAACAAACGACATAATATATGTCGGAAGCAGTCTCTCTTTATTGTCTAACCATTATCAAACAACAATTACGAGGCATGGTCAAAAAGTTCCCGGAGTCTTACGATAACTTTGTTATTTTGTGTATGTTTTTATAATGTCATATATCACATTAAAATTTAGAGAAATCGCTGCATGAATATATAAGAGTCAATGATTTTCATAAATGTTACACATATTTAACACCCCGTTAAAGTTATACACTATGTCACGTACGGAGCACTTCGGCGACGTCGACGACGCAAACGACGTTCAGGTGACGTTCATATTCCAGAAACAACTTATCGTCACGTTCATGCTTTTTCAAAATAGTCCTCATTGTGTTCAGTACACTTCCTGTGCCGCTGTACCCACTTCCGGTAAATGTCTGCATACCACTCTGGAGTGTAACTTCTTATTGTGGACCTCACAGCATTTTTGATCTCATCTTCTGTATCAAACCTCCGACCCCTCAAATCTGCTTTCAGTCTAGGGAAAACACAAAAGTCTAAGGGGGCGAGATCGGGGCTATAAGGGGGATGACGTAGCCGCTCATATCCTAAGAAGTCAATAATAAGGAGAGTCTCGTCTGCGCGGTGTGCTGGAGCGTTATCTTGATTAAAAATTAAATTTTCGATGTCGCACCCTGCTCGCTTTTTCCTGATAGCGTTCGTTAGATCCCTCCGCACAACCTGTTAATAACAAATTCATTTTATTTGAAACTACCACAAATGCGGCAAATTATATAAAAAAATAGTTTTTTTCACTTTTTGTTATATTTTATATACTTTTCACCTTACATATAAATAAACATAGAAATTTAGTAAAAACATTTCATGCGACATAATTAATGCTTACCTTTTGATAGTACTCTTTGTTGACTGTCGCCGATCTTAGCACTGTATGTTGCAACAGCATACCCTGGCTATCCATGAAGAAAATATACAAAACTTTCTTCGCCGACTTTCAGGTTTTCGCCTTCTTGCGGAGGGAGGGGGGGGGGGGTGATGAAGGTCGCTGCCATACCATCGACTCTCGTTTACTCTCCGGGTCGTAAAAGTTCACCCACGTCTCATCCTTAGTGATAATGCGCCTTAGGAATCGTTCGCCGTTTCTATCATATCGCCGTAATAATTCTCGGGAAGCGTCTACACGGGTTGCTTTGTTTTCATCTGTAAGTAACCTAGGTACCCAGCGGGCGCATACCTTATTCATGTTTAAAAACAACTTCGTCACTATCATATGTACAGTTCCATGACAAAGCCCGACGGTGTCTGCGATATCATAAATCGACTTTCTCCGATCTTTGGCGATGACGTCCTTCACATCTTGGATTGAGCGCTGATCGTTACCCGGTCTTCCGCTTCGTGCACTATCGGTAATTTCCGTTTGACCTTCCCTAAAACGCTTGTGCCAGTCAAACACAAGTGTCCTAGAACAATTATGAACACCCTCTTTCTGATTAAAAAACTTCCAGGTATCAGTCGGAGTCATTCCAGACATCGCACAGAATTTTATTACTGCCCGCTGCTCCGTACGTTTTTCTGAGGTTGACATTTTTCGTATAGAAATTTTCACGTGGCTTGAGTAATCGTGCACAAAATGGCGATACGTCATCCGATCACGCTGAATTTTTGCAGTTGTTTTCTAGTAACGTTCAGCTGACGTCACGTACAAAAATCACGACGTTTTGGCGCCAGTATTTTGAGACATTCATGAAAGAGAATTATTCACTTTTAGAAAAATCAAATTAATTCTGAAATGCTCCGTACACGTGTTGCGGGCATGTTTCATGTGAAAAATAATTTCCAAATATTTTTAATTAACAGTTGGCCAGAAATGGTATGGTTACTACAAAGCCGGTTACCCGTTACAGAAATTAAAAACCATCAAAGCACTACTTTTAAAAGGTGAACAAAATATACTCTGTAACAATAAAATTTAATGTTGACAAATCAAAAACCAATAATTAATACCAAGATGCAATAGTACTTTGTACTTAAGTAAAATTATAAATCAAACCATTTAACTGTTTTTTTTGTAAACCTAGGTCAATTGGTGCATTAAAATCTCACAACAAATCAGCCGTTTCTTACTTAAAAACTGAATGACCATACAAATTTGGTACACGACTAATGTAATTGTCATCACAATATGGATGCTGAATAACAAAACGTTCTTCTTGTATTGAATCAACACACACAACATCTATGTCTTTACCAATTTCAATACTTAACAAATGAAATCCAACATCATTAAATGGATGTACCGGCTCTCTCAAATTTGCATGTGTCCCAACTGCATATATTTTGTTACTTTGAATAAAGTATTTGATAGATATGACTCCATCTTCACATAATACAGTGTGACAATTTCTTATTTTCATGCGCGTATACTTTTCTGAATATACAGTGTTACCTTTAATCACCGCCCGATAAGCCATTCTACAATCTTCACATTTATTAGCTCCAACTTTTGGAAGAACTGTCTGTTTCTCTTGAACCGAATTTAATTTACAAGCCAAGATACCACCCTCTAAACTTGGATCTGGTTTTGACTTATATTTGCTTGCATAATTAAGATTAATCTTGGATAAATAAGGTTTCCAAACAGGATTTTCATGTACCTCCTTCTTCACACTTGTACACAAATCAAATATTTTATTTTGAACTATTTATCGTGTCACATCACCAGTTCCATGAACAGACAAGAGTATATTTGCGTTGTTGTCTTCGAAACCAAAGAAACCCCAGCAATAAAGTGGGCCCCACTGTCTTACATAGTAAACAAGATGTGCACCGATGTTACGCACATTCAGTCCGCAGGAGCCTAGTGGATACTAGTATAATTCACAAAACATGTTGTAAAATTTATCAAGTATTATTTCAGCTCTGACCAATTCAGCTGAAGTAATTGAATCACCCAAAAGTAGGTATATACCTTCTGATAGAAGACAAAAATGCTGTAAATATCTATCTGGTAGAATACCTTTCAGGCAAGGGAAAGAATAAAACAGGAGCCATGTTTGAAGTTCTGTTGCTTTGAAGTTAGAATAATGTTTTTCGATGTCTCTTGGAAGTCTCTGTACAGAACTTGGAGGCGTTATATTGTTTAACATTTTACTTATGACCGTAACAAACTTTCCAATGAAGTAATCTTTTCCACTCTGAGACGGAGAAAGCCAAAGGTAGAGTAAATTCTTTGTCATACCAATTTAAACTCCATGCATGTAATCTGGTGTCATTCCATTCACGATATCAAACCATTGCATGGCAAGAAAGGCAGATGGTCCTGCAATGCCTTTAATTTTCTTTTTGTAAGTTGCTTCAGGAGCTTTAACATACTTGATGTCATCTAAATCTCTAATATCAGGTTTTTTGTTTGGTGACTTGTATGGGTAGCAGCGACTGTGACCTTTCCCTTGTTTAACAACAAGTCCTGGTTCTTCACAGGTGATACAGCCATACTCACCATTATGCATCGTCATGCTGCAGTATAGGCTTTGGCTTGCAAGTCCATAGTCGCTAAACAAACACAAAGCTTGACTAATTGTTCCCCATCTTTAGTTTCAATACTTATTCCATTCTCATATAAATTTTTGAAATCTTCTGCAATGGCGAGAAAGCATTGAAAAATGGGTGGTTTAGCACTGTCTGGCCAAATTCCAGCCAAAACAGTGTTTTCTCGTGAAAATCTGGTTTTCAATGATAGTTCATTTATAGAGATATACACAGGCCAAAGTTTCACTTTGCTTGTGCTATACAAAGGTATACCGTCCATATTTAGAATACCATTAATATTACAGTTGTCAGATAGAAAGTTACCAGGTTGGCACATTTTTCATACAATGCTCCTTGGTATATATCAGATAACATTAAAGGGTTTATACATATTGTGACAAGAAATCCTTTGGTGTGCTGTTTCAGTACACAGAACACAATTCAAAGGAATCTATCAGGGTATTCAAAACAAGATGGCCATAAAGACCTTATATCGCTCACCTGAATCAAAAGAAAACATATACAAATTGCTTGATTAGACCTCCATGATTCATGTAGGGTGTATTTTAAGATCTGAAATTTAATGCGACAAGCAATCTGTGAATGTTTGATAACATTCCCTAACAAGGTATTTGGTAAAACCAAATGATCCCTTTCAATAGATGGGCATTCACCAACTGTCACAGGGTTACTTTCAACAGATGAATTGTCCTAGTTATTTCTGAAGAGATGTTGTTAAAAGCAATTGTTGACTGGGGACGAACGATACACGCACAATGACGGAATCAAGCGGTCATAAAAGCTCACCATGAGCATTTCGTGCTCAGGTGAGCTAATTATAGAATTGGGTAACCTTGATTTGAAGTAAAATAATACACAGTTCTATCTGACAATAAAATATCAACAAAAAATCATGTTCTTAAAGCTTTGTAAATTAATTAAATGAAATTTTGTTCAATCATCAATAACTTTGACAATAAACAATAGTATCCTTAGTTTGCATGCTAGAGAATATAACATCCAGTTAATAGTGAGAACGACGATCTTAAATGATCGGTTGGCTTGTAATTGTTTGAATATTTGAAGAGTACTCTTATACATACATGAAAATGAACAAGAGCACCACTAGGCAGAGCATTATATGCCCGAAAGTGTGTGTTTTTTAGTAAGGATGAAGCAATTGTAAGACACGGTAATTAAATAAAGTATTACCTCCTTCAAATAGCAATCCTCCGATGAAGTTTGAATATTGTGGGCCAAATGGAACATAAGTTATGCTATGGAAACTGTTTTCAGTTATAAGGTAATAGTGACTTTGACCTTTGACCCTGTGACCCCAAAATCAATATGTATGTTAAACCCAATATGGACAATCCTCCTATGAAGTATAAATACTGTGGGCCAAATTGATCTTAAGTTATGCTCCGAAAACTGTTTTCAGTTTTAAGGTAATAGTGACCTTGACCTTTGACCTTGTGACCCCAACATCAATAAGGGTCTTTTACCCAATATGGATAATCATCATATGAAGTTTGAACACTGTTTGTCAAATGGAACTAAAGTTATGCTCAAGAAACCAAATTGCTAACGGTCGGACAGACGGACGCCAGGGAGTATAACATAAAATGCCCGAAATTCTTTGGGGCATATAAAAAGTATTTTAATCAGTGTTTAATTTGACATTGATGGATGTGAAACTGGGGCTTTAAGTAAACTCAAAAGTGTAAACTGGACCTTCAAGGTATATCTGCAATAAAAGAAGGGACAATATGTGTATCATACTTACTACAATTATGTACTGATTGAAGATGAAGAACGACTCTTTGTTTCGATGACAAAGCATTTTCACAAATCAAGCAATGAAACTTCCCATCCTTGTTCTGGAACAAGTGAATTTTATGTGCTTCTTCAGTTTCATTCTGTGCCATTATTACAGGAACCTGCAAAAACAACAGTTTCAAATTAGCATTTCAATTCTCATTAATGATTATTTATATTACAATATTGGTCCCGTTTCGATTCAATAGGGTTGCCACAAACTGGAGAAAGTAAAATTCCCCGACTTTTCGCTGACCAAATTCAATCTTTCTGTGTTTTTTATAAATTGATTCCTCAGCCCTCAACCATTTCAACCTCTGGTTACAAAATGTCCTGCTCTTTTAAAAAATTTCCTGACCAATCTTGAAATTCCTTGACTTTATATTTTTTTCTCCATTTTTCCCTGACCTTTCCCCGACTGTGGCAGCCCTGTAATTGCAAAAAGCCTCCAATGAAAAATGCAGCTGACCTAGCAGTTCTAATACATGGCTTCTGACGGAAAAGTGTGATGGACAGACAGAAGTCCTAGCATATGGCTACTCCTGTGGCTATTCCTTTGTTTTTCCTATTGTTCTTTTAGCCACTTAAGAAAAATAATAGCCACCTAAGAGCTTACGGAATGAATGAAAATGTACAAATACCTATTGTCAGTATAGCAAGCTGATCAGTATGTTAAGC